ATTACCTTTCATATTAAATAGTGTAGAAGGGTGGAGTATATGGGATGGTTTACTAAAAGCCAAGGGATACAGAGACTGAAAAAAGTTGGGAAAACTAATCTAGTTTTTAAAGAGAAGAAAACTTAAGGCCCAGAGGGGGAAAGGACCTCTGTAGGGTCACAAGGCAAATTCATGTCACAGCTGGAATCAGAACCCAGGTCCCCTGCATCCCAATTCAAAGTTCTTTCCAACACACTGAGCACTGTGATATATTGTAAAGGAGGTTGAACAGTGAGAAGACGTGGGATCTAATTCTAGGTCTGGCATTCATGAGCTATATAACCTTAGGTCCCTTGACTTCCCTAAGCGCCAGTTACTTTCTCTACAAAATGGTGACAATATTTACTTGCCTCACAAGATGCTGTTCTGATGAAAATTCATTATACATCTCCTAGCCCTATATAAAAATGAACTGATATTAAGTAATAGTGCTGTTATTCAGAAAGCTATTTAAAAATCTAGCTAAGACAGCAATCATATGCATGAGATAGGCACTATATTAAATCTGCTTTGCAGAGAGTAGAAATAGTTAATAATAGTTAATTGACTCTTCCAATATCGCTGTGATTGTGCCAGCCACAGAGCTGAGGCTGGGAACCCAATGTCCCTGTCTCCAAGTTCCCATTCTGGGTCCTACCTATTAGACTACTCTATTTCTCACAGAAATGTATGGCTTCTGGGGACATCTAAGGGCTACTGCCTGGGAAGATGGTCACAATTTAGAAAGCCTGGGTCCACATTATATTACTAATAGCATCAGAGGCAGCTGGCTTCGAAGTCCACTTTTCTCGCCTCTCCTGGCTGAAAGACTGGTTCCCTGGCCCATGATTTGAGAACATCTTGACTATTTTGTTCATGTTTCACTCCTGTTTAGACTATCAGTAATAATGTTTAGCACTGGGCTTCTTTTTTCTAGGTTGTTTGCTCAGCTCTTCTGCCTGGTGAAGGCACACGGGGGAGCTAGAAGGGGCCACTGCACCCAACCAAGGACACCTGGGGCAGGGGTGAAAAGGAGAGGAGGGGAGGATGGGGGATGGGAAAGAAGAGTGGTGGAGAGGGGAAAGGCTCCCAAAGGTGCGACAGCAGCCCAAAACCACATTGTAAGAAGCCTTCCCCATAAAAAGTCAGTGTGATATAAAGAGCTCTAGATTTGGGTTCTAGTAACAGCAGTCTACCTTCTAGCTATGTAACCACGGACAAGTCACATCTCTTAACCAGTTTCCTTCTCTGTAAAATGGGAATGATACTGATACCACCTAGTGCATAGGGTTATTGTGAAGGCAGCACTTGGCTGAAATTGTAAACTACTATAGAAAGGTGAACTCTTATTCCAATTACGGATCTAGAAAGAGTATGCAGGTATCCCCATTTTTAGGTTGAAGGGCCCTCTTCCAATTAATTATAAGCTATGAATTCTGACTTCTCTTGGGAAAATAACCATTTGCTATAATCCAAGGCCCCTCTGGGGCAGCTAGGTGGCACAGATCCCCTAGCCTAGAGTCATGAAAACCTGAATTCAAATCCTGCCTCAGACACTTATTAGTTCTGTGACCCTGGAAAAGTCACTTAACCCTGTTTGCCTCAGTTTTCTCATCTCACAAATGAGGTGGAGAAAGAAATGGCAAACCACTCCACTATCTTTGTCAAAAAAACTGCAAATGGGGCTATGGAGAATCAGACACAACTGAACAAAAAATAGGTAGGCACTGGAATCTTTTGAGCAGGAAAGTAACATAGGCAGACCTATGCATCAGGAATATCACTTTGGCAGCCATACACATGGATCAGAGATCAGGGAGATCAATTAAGAAGCCATGAAAATAGTCCAGGTGACCATAAGGGAATCTGTGATCCTGAACTAGGATGATGGTCACAGAGGGGACAGGATGGGAAGGATTTCTACTCAGGTTTGGCTTCGATGAGGTGACCTCAGAGGAGGTCCCTTCCAACTCTGCAACTCTGTATCATTGTTTTTCCTTTCAGTGAGCCCCTCTATGACTTCTACGCACCAAGGGAAGTGGGGTGGTGGAGTCGGAAGAACAGTGGGATGAGTCAGAAGGCCTAAGTTCAGGTCTCACCTATACCACTCACTAACTTACTATATGACATTGGCCAAATCTCTTTAATCAAGTCAATAAGTATGTATTAAGCACCTACTGTGTGCCAGGCACACTTCTCTAGACTTCAATTTTACAGAATTTAAAACTGGAAGGGATTCCTTCATTTTACAAGGGAAGAAATTAAAGGGCAGAGAGATTTTTACTTGCTACCAGTCACATGGGAAGTAAGTAGCAGAGTGAATATTCAGACTTGGTCCCTCAAATCCAAATCCAGCATTCTTTCAACTACACCATACTCTTTCCCCATCAGCTTCTTCTTCCTGGGGTTCTCCTCAGTGGATCAACTCTGGGGTGAGATTAGTCAATGGTGCCACTCACTTGCTTATAAGGAGGCTGGTCCAACTGACTACCAGAAGAAGTCAGCAGAAACACTACATGTAGGGACAGAAAATCTATCACTTTCTTTGTGCCTAGCCAGATTTTCTATAGGAACAAAGTGAGGGTGAAGGGTTTTGCTCATCTTTATCCAATGCCATGCTGAGGAAGAAGGGCTTATTAAGAACCACAGTTATCCCTTGTGTTTGTTTATGAAGTGTTTTCACATCCATCGTGTAATCTTATTCTCACAATCCTAGGAGGTAGGAAAGCTTACCACTATTTAACAAATAAGGCCAACCAAGGCCCTGAAAGGTAAAGTGGCAGAGTTGGGCCTAGAACAGAGTTCTCTCCCATTCCTCTGACACAGACACACCCTAGAGAAGAGATAAGGGGTAAAGAGCTATTAAAGATGAAGCTGATCTGACTTTGAGACATTCCATAATGTCAAACCTTTTCACTGTTCTCTACACCTCACGAGGCTCAGCAGCAACACCCGAGCACGTCAACAGACGCACATCAAAAGACACCCAGGGATGGGTATTCCAGAAGTTATTCTGCTTTGCTACCATAAGGGCTCACCTACTTCCTTCTTCCCTTTTTCAGCATGCTAAAGTTCTCTGTAAGCATTATGGGAAAGTTAGGTTTTATGTGCCTTCAGGTATTGGACAGAAGATCATCCCTTCTTGGAACTGTGGACTACAGCAAATGCCTTGTGGTTCCCACAGGGAAACTATCTTGTTCAGGCTTCCTGGTTGGATTAACAAGTTTCCTGACTCCTGGTTCTGGGGCTCTTTCCACTGAACCCCACTGTCTGCTTCTCCAGTTCAGAGGAAGGGAAGGATATTAGCCAGGCTTTCTGCTCCTTCAACACTCAATTGGGGATTATTATCTGGTTATCTAAGGTCTCAGCCCCATCAGTGGGGTGCCCACCCTGAACCAATCCCTGTCCCCATCAATTCCAGATTCCAGGGGAGGGCACTAGAAATTCATTTCTGAGCTGCAGTTTGGCAAGGGAGGTATGGAGATAAATCGAGGACTGGGGCACCTAGGAGAGGAGGCTACAGAGTTCTGGTCTTCAGGAATCCAGTTGGTCTGAAGTAAGAGTCAGGAGGGCCATGGGCCAAAGAAGGAGGAGTCTGTCACCAGCAGTACTGGGCAGCCCAGGTTTTGGGAAAGGTAGCTTGGGAGCAGATTTGCAAGCATTTGGGGCTGCAAATGCCTAGCTCTCTTTCACAAAACAGGCAGGTAAGTGGACATCTATGGTAACCTCTGACACTGACTCTGGGCACAAAAGGGGCATGTAGGAGCACACAGCCGTGGGACTAGCCAGTACTCCTCCCCTAAAAGGGACGCTTGTCATGGAACTAATCTCTTAATTAAACCAGAGTTCCTCCAAGCACAGACAAGAGTTCCCAGCTGGACACCGAGAAAGTTAAAATCACTGTGTTCCTCATGTACAGACCCAGACTGACTAGCTAAGAGAGAGAGAGAGAGAGAGAGAGAGAGAGAGAGAGAGAGAGAGAGAGAGAGAGAGAGAGAGAGAGAGAGAGAGAAGGAGAGAGAGAGAAGAGAGAGAGAGAGACACAGAGAGAGAGAGAGACAGAGACGGGGGAGGGGGGGAACAGAATGATTTGCACATTTGCACACTAAGGCATACGCACACCATTCAGACACACCCCCAACCAGCCCAGCCCAGCCTGAAAGGTTTCCACTAGGCTAGGGGCACTACGGCTCCAAGCTGTTCCCTCCACCCAAGGTTTTCAGAAAGAAGGGGCCCAGAGCCAGCACAGCAGAAGATCTCTAGCTTCCCCCCTGCTTGGCTTCCGGAGCCCCCAGGACCCCCAGGCTGGGAAGAGGAAAGAAAATTGAGCTCAGGACTTGCAAACCGCCTGGAGAAGTCCAGCCTCGGAAGGGAGCGTCTGTAAATCATTGGGCCCGGGACGAACGCAGTGTTCGTTAACCCTTAACTGCCTGCTTCTTCTCCAACCCCCCTGGGCCAGTGGGATTGACGGGGGTGGGGAAGGGGGAAGGGGGACAGGAAACAGACTTTTCAATGGAAGGCTGAGAAGTCCAGGACTAGGCACAAAAGGGGGTGGAAGAGATGCTCTTTCCTTCTTCCTTCCTCCTCCCGGATGTCTCTTCCCTCCTACGCCGGGAGGCCGGGGCAACGCAGAGACCCCTCAGCATCCAGCTTGGCTAGCTTTGCAGGGAAACCCTACAGGCTATCTGCCGGAGCTTCGGCCCTCCCCTTCCCTCTCCCGAGGCGGGACCCGACACCGGGGCAGGAAGCTGGGAACTCCAGCCTCCCCCGCCCCAGGGCATCCCTCAATGCTAAAAAGGACCCCAGAATGCCCCGCCACTGGGGCTTTTGAGCTCCTGTAGCCAAAGATAGGAAAAGGGAATCCCTACTAAGCCTGGCTCTCCCAGAGACCAGGGTCAAAGGGAGTGGGAGGCTCTCCACTTCTCCCTCGCCCCTTCCTCCTCTTCTTCCTCCACTGGTCAGAGTTGGGAGTTTTTACTCACCCCCTGGATGCAGCTGCTCTGACTCTGGAGACCGGGGCTGATTCCGGCTCCATCGCGGGTTCCTACTTCATTCTCTCTTTCCCGGGGGGCAAAGAAGTCTCAGCGCGATCCATGGGGAGCTGCGCGCCCTGCGCCCCGACGGCGCGCGCCCCGACGACGGCGCCGACCTGGCCGCGGCCGCCCAGAACTCTGCGCGGCACCTCCCCCAGCCCGGACTCCTGGGGTTCCCTTCGTCCTCTTCGCGGCTGTTGCCTCAGTCCCACCATGGAACTCTCTCGCAGCGGATCTCCGCTCCCTCTGGGGCAAAGGGCAGAACGCCCTGCAATGCACCAGCGGGCAAGAGAGCCAGGAACATGGTTGTAGGAACTCCGAGGGCTCCTCTTTCCCCCCGCACCCCGAAAAAAACTTTTCTACGGGAACTTGGTGTCCCTGCTTTTTAGTGCCAGTCCCTGGTGGCAGGGAAGGCCAAGCTGGAGGCAGGATATTTTACTTTGGAGGGTGGTTGGATCTTGCCTATCGTGTCAAATGTTCCCTCCAGAAACTCTCCTCTGGACTTGGGGAGGAGAGGAAAAGGAAGGATTTGGGGAAATTGAAAATGATTTAAAGGAGCTCGCCTCTCCCCCCCTCCACCTCCTCTCTCCGAATCCCTCTCTTTGCTGCCCCCCTCTGACTAGAGAGAGGTGAGACATTCTCAGCCCTAGCCCCAGGAACCCCGGGACCCCTTCCTTTCTTCCTTCCTTCCTTCCTTCCTTCCTTCCTTCCTTCCTTCCTTCCTTCCTTCCTTCCTTCCTTCCTTCCTTCCTTCCTTCCTTCCTTCCTTCCTTCCTTCCTTCCTTCCTTCCTTCTTTCCTTCCTTCCTTCCTTCCTTCCTTCCTTCCACCTTTCTTCCTCCCAGTGCCTCCCCCCCGGGGAGGGGATAGGAGCCAGCCTCCTTGAGAGAGCGAAAGGGTGTTCTCAGCCGGAGAGTTGTTGCTGAGGTCCGCGCTCCAGCTTCACACCCTTATTAATCCAGTCCTAAAGGAGGTTCCCTGCCTGTCCCCATTTTCTCTGCTCCTCCGCCCCCAGCCACATATACACACTCCTTGCCCAAAGCTTCCAAAAGAATATGAAACTCAGGAGTCCAAAACTCCTTTTCCCAACACGCACAGAGAGGGGAAAGAAATCGAGACCAGAATCTGTCAGAAACTTGTTGTGTGACCTTAGGTATGTCACTTGGCCTCTCAGGGTCTCATTTTCCCCAAATGTAAAAACGTGAGCTCTCTAAGGTCCCTTTCAGTGTTAACATTTTACGATTTTATTTCGCGTGTTTCCTCTATTTGTCCCCAAGAATCTGGTAGACAAACTGCGGGACCGGGGTAGGGGGTGGGGGTAGGAGAAGTACTGTGCTTCTGCCCCCATCCTTCTCTCATAGAGAGGTACCTGAATCCGGTCCTCCCCGAGGGTCTCATCTTTGTCTCTGCAGACAATCCCCTGGGTACTTCATAGAAACAGACCAAAGAGGGGCCACGAACTGGCTTTCCGAGGGGCCCTAACTTCTCTCTGCGAACGCCCCCCCCTTCTCCGCTACCACCACCCTGGTTACCCATCACGCCTTCCAGCCTTGCAGTCTGGCCCTCTGGACCCAATCACTTGTCTGCCCCGTGCAAGGTCAACCAGCCCTCACTGAAGACAAGACGTGGTTCAAGCTAGACAAAGGAATGGCCGGAGGTTTAGGACCGAAAGCACTTACACACGCACACACCCCCAAACTCCTACACGTGCCCGGAGCTGAGAGCGTCGGCCTCTTCCACACCCGGGCTCCCTCGGTTATCCCACAACCGCCCCGTCTCCCCGCCCGGCAAACCTCATCTTTACCGGGCCCCCTAATCCATTCACTTGCTACTTACTTCGTGCGAAGGCGAGAGGTTGAGGAGTCTCTCCTTCCGGCCCCTAAATTCATTTGTATTCATTGGTCCTCGCAGCTAAGGGAAAATCGGCTCGGGTTTGTTTGATGGGGAGGGGATGGGGGCGTAAAATTTCTTTTTTGAGAGGGGTTGAGTAATAATCACAACGTAATTCGGCGACCGGAAAGCTGGACAGTCGGGGGGACCTCCTGGGTCATTGGCCTAGACGGTTTCTCCAGTCGCCTAGAGAGGGAGAGACAAGGAGACCCCAAGTTCACCGGCTAATCCTTCCCTGGGATCCTGGCCCGCCGCTCTCGCTCCCGGTTGGCGGCTCATAGGTGCTGTGGGAGCCGGGAGGGGGCTTGGAGCGGGACCTGAGCCTTTTGAAGTCTCCGCTAGAGGGGGGGTCAGGGGAGCTGGCGTGGCGAGGTGGGGGGATTGTAAAAGCTGCCCTTGTCCTTTTAAATAGCTGCTGCATGGGGACTCCACTAGGCTCCACCGAGCCAGGTGTCTGGTTTCAGCAAACAGGCGAGAAAAGTCCCTAGCAAAAAAAAAAAAAACACGAAAAAAATCCTTCCTGCAGGGGGCAGGGTACCCACGGCTGGGGAAAGTGCGAGGGGCAAACAGACCAGGAGCTGAAAAAGATGCTTACAGGTCCTCTCGGCCTCCCTCCGCCTGGAGTGAGGCCCGCCCTCGAGTTGTCAAGGCGACCTCCTGGTGTCTTCCTCTGACACCCCTCCCTCCAACGTTTTCCAGCATGGGGGTGATTTGGTATACTTCTCGATTTTCCTGCCTGTGTCACCCGAGAAGTCATAGTTGCCATTAAGAACGCCTACTTTTAAAAATCCTAACTTGCCTGAGGTGGAAAATGCCACCTTCATAGGAAAAAAACAAAACCCCATCTCCCTCTCTCCCAAGGACACAGCCCCAAGAAAGAAATACTTGAAGAAGGATGGAGGTGAGTAGGAGTGAGCAAGATTGACAGAATCCCTTAAATGTCAAGCTGATGGAAGGGATAAGTGCCCAAGTCACATCAGACCCCTTAGTTTCTGATCAGGTTTGGACCAGGGGAGAGTCACATGTCTTCTTCAACAACACTTACTATCTTTGCAGCTCATTTGGCAGAGCAATTCAACAAACATTTATTAAATGTGTACCTAGCACTGTGCTAGGCATTAGGGAAGCTTGGAGAAGTCCAAGTCCCTGTGCTTCTGGAGCTTACAGGCTAGTGGGGATGGGGGTGGAGATGTAATGAAAAAGCCACAGTAACTCATACAAAACAACACATAGCTAGGTTGTGAAGTGGATAGAGTGGGGATTTCACCTCAAGAAGGCCTGAGTTTGAATCCTACCTCAGATGCATTAACTGTGTGACCCTGAAACTAGTCACTATACAGGCACTTTTCCTCATCCTTTCTAATGATCTTATAATAATATTTCTATAGCTTTAGGGTTTATAAATCCACTGTACATGTTACCTCATTTGATCCTCACAACATGCCTGTGATTTCTCAGTTTCTTCATCTATAAAATGCAGATAACAGTAACAATTGCTTCACAAATATATGAATGCTACCTATTATTGTTATAAGGTTGGGGAAATATTCACCAACTTAGGGGGAACCAAAGACTTCCTATGAAGACAAAACAGAAAGGCTCTCTGCAGGCAGTTAGGAGACCTGGGTTCTAATCTTGGCTCTTTCATTAACTTATTATGTGTTACTTTAGGCAAGGCTTGTTGTTTTTGGTTTGGGTTTGTGTTTTTTGTTTTTTGTTTTCAACTCTCTGGACCTCAGTTTCTTCATCTATGAAATAATGAGTGTAGAGCATGGTTTAGAGTTGGCCACTCCCATGTGTAGCCTAGGTGATTACCCCTATCTCTCTACCTGCTACTTGTTTTATTCTTTATATATTTTCATTCATGGTTATATAACAAAGTAGCCACTGAGAACAGAAACTGTCTTCTTCTCTAGTCAATTTCCACCCAGCTCAGGTGGCCCTGAGGCACCTCATGGTGGCCTCAGGTACCTCATGTCCCCTGAAACATTTCTATAACTTACTCTGTACCATAATTTCAGTGCTTCTTTGGAGCTATTTGTCTTTTTCATTAAAATATGTCCTGCTTTCTCCATGTTTTCCATTTCCTGTATACCCTGCCCCCTCATCCTGATGGAGGGCTTCCTGCATAAATTTTGGATTTAGCTCATGCTTTGATTGAGGAATCAAATGGATATGGAGTCAGCAAACCTGGATTCCAATACAGGCTCTTCCACTTTACCCTGTGAGACCAGGACAAATCACCTACCCCTTCTCATCTGTAAAATGAGAAGGTTGGATTCAGTGACCTTTAAGGTCCTATCCAGCTTTAAATCCATGACTGGCTGAAGTGATTTCTCATTCCTCCAGAATGAGGGCCCTTGATTTCTTGACCATGTGTTTCTCACTTAACACAAGTTTCCTTTGCACCGTTTCTTAGCTCCCCAGCTAAAGAGTGAGCAGGGACCATGAGTTAAACATTTTTGGATGGCCCACAGCCTAACAAAATATCTCACACACAGTAGATGCTTGATAAATATTTGTTGCATAAATGAAAATTGGTCTGATAGTCCCACTTCTTAACCTACATGTCCCTTTAAAGTGGAGATTCACCAGCTTGGTCATGGCCAAAGAGAACCACATCGTAGTACCCAGATCCCATTCTTTCTGGGACATGCTGCACATGAATTTTCATGAATCAGCTAGAAAATGACTCAGCAAAGACTATCCCAGCTTGTGAGAGCCAGGTAAGTACAATTTTTCAGTAACCAAACACTGCCTTCTGGGCCTGAAGGGGAGCTTGAGCAGTTGGCTACTTTCATAGCCCAGATCTGTTTCTTCAGTTCCAAACGGTGATAGTGGTTAAAACAATTCACATTTAACAACTTCCATTTATGCAGTCCTTTTAAGATATACTAAGCGCTTTCCTCACAGTGATTCAGTGAGGCAAGACACAAAAACACAGGTTATCTCCATTTCACCAACGAGGAAATTCTAACTCCTAGAGATTAGGTGATTTATCTATGGTCTCATACACAGAAGATGCTGGAGCTGGAAATACAACCAGGATCTCCTGCCTCCAAGCCAGGCAATCTTTCAATTGCAAGTTACTGCCCCTTCTGTTTGTAGAGAGATCCCACAAGCTCCCTCTGTGGCAGCAGAGACTGAGGTTGGTGGTTTATCCCTGGACTCAGGAACTTAGTCAATCTCTCTATACATACATGTATATCATCAAGAGAAAGAAGGAGGGTTCTCTGCCTTCAGGGAGCCTACACTCTAATAGAGGAGACAGGATAAACACAATTCAGGTAAACCAGATTCCACATATGTAATAGAATTTGTAAGTCAGGAATATACAACTAAGTACAGTACCATGGCTTAAAGAGGCTGAGGGTGTCCCAGGGTGACTGGAGTCAAGTGATGTTAGGCTGAACAGGCTTCATGAGGAAGGTGAGTTTCCAATAGAATTGTGAAGGCAGGGAGAGCAAGAGTGTGTGGAAAGACATTTAGCAGTGCCACATTGCCATGTCAACAGCTCTCAACAACTCAGACAAGCGACGATTTTCTCAGCACTGTTCATGAATCAATTCCTAAGCAAGTCATTGCATTCCCCAAAGGGAGAGTCACTCATATTCATGCAATGTGGAAGCTCAGCTCTGGTCTAGTCACCAGCCACATCTCAGACCCAGGCTCATGGCTGTGGAGTTCTCAGCCTCCACCAACACTGAGCTCAACACAGTAAGCACTTCCTGAAACCTAACTAAACATGGTTCCTGGGGGAGGGAATTCATTAATTCAGCCAATTCACTAATTCAGAAACCATTCACAAATATATTGTAG